GAGCCAAAATGTTTTCCAGTCTCCAAAGCAAAGCTCAATTTTAAGACAATTACAATCCTTCCACTCAATGAAGGTATACTCATGGGCTCACAGTGGTTCTCTCTCTCTCTCTCTCTCTCTCTCTCTCTCTCTCTCTCTCTCTCTCTCTCTCACACACACACACACACACACACACACACACCTGGAACACACGTGGACCAAAGGAAACAGTGGCAAAGAAATACCGAGGAACCTGGCGAGAACTCACCTGCCTCTAAAGTGGTGCCGTTCAGCATCCTTAACGCCAGAGGGGTCGATCGCGCAGACAACTGCGATTGTACTGTCAGAAGAAAACCCGGTGTGTCAGCGAGACATTACTGCCTGGGCTCCCCAAGAACATCCTTCCCTTAGTGGGGCCGGTCTTAACCTCTTGTCTGCTGAGATTCGGGGACCCACGCAGTTATGCCCAAGCTGAGCTTCGTTTCCAGAGCTCCAGGGCTGGGAGTGCCCTCCTCCCCCCCCCCCAGGATAGAAAAGCACTCCCCACTATGCGGAACCTAAAGGGGTGTTTGTTACCTTGATGTCCCAGTGGTGTCAGTTGTTCCTCTCAAGAATTTGGTTCTTGGGAGAAGTGGTGGCCAGAGGTGGCGGTCAGGGGTGTGGGACAGTCCCGGCAGACACACTCTGTTAATCAAATAAACAAGCCCAGTGAATGAACATAAATAAGTGCTCGCTCGCGCTCTCTCTCTCTCTCTCTCTCTCTCTCTCTCTCTCTCTCTCTCTCTCTCTCTCTCTCTCTCTCCTCCCTCCCTCCCTGCTTCCCTCCTCTCTCTCTCCTCCCTCCCTCCCTGCTTCCCTCCTCTCTCTCTCCTCCCTCCCTCCTTACCTCTGTCCCTTTTCTCCTCTCTTCTCTCCCCAGTATTGACCTGAATCTCTCACCTCTGACCTTCAGCCTCCTCCACCTGTCTTTTATTTTCTGTTTATGCTTTCTCAAGTCGGAAAAGGCGAGGGTGGGGGATGGCCGAGGGCTCAGCCTCCGGCCAGTACCCCAACAACCGTTCCGAGACCGCGCTCGGCCCTGCCAGCCTCTCAATAATCCGAGGAGGTGTTAATGGAAGACTTGGCGGCAAGGGAACCTCATAAAGCAACGAGCATCCCGAGACTTGGGCGCAGCCGGGGGAGGGGTCCTGGAGCCCCGCAGCGTACCCTAGCCTCCCGGACCCCCAGCCTGCCTTTGACTTGCTGAAGCTGGTACCTAAAAGATGCTGCCGCCAGCTGGTGCCTGCTGCATAGAAGGTGAATGGGTGGTAGCTCCTGGGGAAACTGGGCTAAGCTATTGATTGCTCACACACCGTCCCCGCCTTCTTCTCTCCATCCCTTGCTCACCGATGCTTCTAAGCCCCGCATCGGAAACCCAGCAAGTTGGAGAGCGTTCTGAACTGGAAAGCGGCTTCTGTGACCCGTCTGCGAGGGGCCCCAAGACACCTGCCCCTCTTGGGTCCTTACTAAAGAGCAACAGCTGAGAAAAACCTTCTAGAAGAAATTCTGCACTCGAACCTGGGCACTCAAAACGGCTATCGGCTATGGCAGGGATCGGCGGGGACCCTGTTACCTGGTCTAGATCCCGCTAGGACTGCGTAGCCCCGGGTTCCCTCGAGCCGCTGGTAGAGAAGAATCGGAAGCCAGACCTCTGGCCAATTATTTACCCCACTCCCCACCCAGGGCGCCCCTCGCAGTCGGAGATGGGGAGGCGGGGGATTAGCTTGGGCTCCCGCGCCTGTGGGGAAGGAGGTGTGAGCAGAGAGATTGGCAGCTCCAGAACGCCGGTCAGCGCCGGCGCCGCCCTCCCCCACGCCAGTCTGCTCCCCAAAGACCCCTCAGTCTTAGCCGCTCCTTGACTTGGCATGAGCCAAGGGGCTGGGTGGGTTGAAGGCATTTGTGTGCCTCGAAGCCACCAGCAAAAATTACGGATTTGTGCGGGGATGGAAGCCAACCAGTCCCACAAGCTCTCCACAGTTTGGGGGCTTTAAGAGACGGCTCGGGAATGGTGAATCCAAGCCACCCCTCCCCCGCACGCTCACTCTGCACATTAAACAGCGGAGTCTGGCTTGGAGCCTTAGAGACTGACTGTGCCCCGTGCGTGTGCCCCACGGGAACACTAGGCTTCGTGAACTAGTTCCTCGGGTCAGTTAGTCAATCAGTCCCATCCGTTTACAGAACTGGACTTTCCCAGGCTCACCTAGTTTATTTTTTTCTATTGTACCCTCCTGGAAAAAGAGGAGGACAAGACTCTTAGGTTCAGCTTTATAATATAAAAATCAGTGAGCGAGCACTGGAAAGTCTTGGGTTCTGTCCTATGCGGTGCCTTTTAATTTCTTTGGCTATCCGTTTCAGGTGTTTGATAAGGATACGCGTACAGAGGAGGGAAGGGAGGGAGGGATGCAGGGAGGGAGGATCCCCCCTCAAAGAGGAATTATTTTGGAATCTGGAAATGCATCTTAACCATTGTAGGATTGTGCAAAAGTAACACAGAGCTTTACGTTCTCCGCCGCCGACAGAGGTCAGCTCCCCAGCTTAGCCGTCGGTGGAAGGTAGGGAAGATAAAGTGGTTGATGGAAGTGATCAGTGAAGGGTGATGAGGGGAGAGCCAGGTTCCTTTGGGTCTGCCCTGGGACCCTGCGACTTCTAACAGCTGCGGGACGCAGCGTGGCAAGTGTCATTCATCGGGTAGGTAGGGAGCCTCCTTCCCCAATCTTGTCTGGAGACAAGACAAGAATCAAAAGCCCCACCAAGTTTTGATGTTAGAAGCTTGTTGAGCAAAGGACTTTGCAGACTCCTTTGGAGAGTCGCTGAAACAAAGACCCTTGGTAGAGCCAGTGAAAACTTTTAGGATCTCACTTGCTCCAAGCACCCTATTTGGAACTTCAAGTATTACTTGAAAGGATAAACTTATTTCTCATCTCAACCTTCTTAATCAGTGGGGACAGTGCTGTTCCCAAAGAGAGAGGAGTGTACATCACTACTCACAGCTAGGGAGGATCTTCTTACAGCTGAGGGAAGAACTAGCCTCAGAAATCCATCTCCACCCCTGCTCTAGTAACCTTAGTTTCTTTGGGGGTCATTCTGTGTTAGAAACAACCCCCCAAATCCGTCTCTCTTGATTTACTATGCCCAGGGGCAGAGGGAGGCTCCAGGAACCTTGAGAGTGGAGCTACACCAGAATTGATTTATATGGGGACATTGCTTTTCTGGGCATCGGCATGTGTTTCTATCTATGCACCTAATAAGAGAGCTGAGTTTTTACTTTACAATGTGTGAAAACTATATAGCTTAAACCCTCTGTAGCAGAGCCCATTTATGTGGCAGTATTGTGTTTACTGTGGGAACACCTGCCCTGCTCCCATCCCTGTTATACCATGGTTCAGAAGCATCTCTCCAGAACCACTGCAGACCTAGGTTCCTGGCATCAGGTGTAGGCATGAATAAGTGCCTCCCCTCCCTTGACCCAGCATCTACTGTGCTGCAAGTTGAGATCCCAAGAATTGCCAACCTCCATGATGACTAGTTTTTTTTTTTTTT